ATTCCTGTGGGGCTACGTCAAATCTATGGTCTATGCCAACAAGCCGATGATTGATGAAGTTCGTACGAATATCGAACAGGAAATTGCAGCACTATCGGCCGATTTATGAAAACCGTCGAAATTTGAGTTCAGCGCCGTTATTAAATATATACTATTATTAAATATATACACATTACTATGTAAATTTCCACAGAAAATGTAAAAAAAAGACCAACGACTTCTACGAAATAAATTGTAATAATATAAGTAAAGCAGCTTTAAATCGTAGAATATGATCTTTTTTTGCATTTCCTCAGAAAATTTAATATAGTATGTTATTTTTATACTATCAGTAAAAATAATTTTCAAAAACAACACAGCCCTGAAAATAACGAGTACCCGGAGCGCCGAAGCATACCAACAATCGATGAAAACTTGGAAAAAGTGAAAATCATTGGTTATGAATGATAGCCGAATCACAATCACAGAAGCTCCTGACGATTTCGACATATTGATTGGCATATGCCGTGAAAATTTTTCGAAATTTTGAGGTATGATACACGTGGCAGCAAACTTTGTTGCAAACCTGCTGAATTTTGAACAAAAACAGCGGAATAACGAAAATCATTACATTTAGTATATGGAAGCCGAATTAATTCGTATATCAATTTCACACTATGATATTTTCTGTAAAAGGTCTGGCCTAGGCACTGGTCCAATTCGGTCCAATTTTTGACTTATAGTGATAGAATAGATAGATAGGTATCTTCAAAGCACTACTTCTACCACTTTCTACTCCGATATATTCATTGGCGTAGAATTTGTTTACAGGAAAGTGGGAGAATAATGGAATTTAAAATATTGTTATATGGAAATGAGGCGTGCTTGTACATAGATCATTTTCGCACTGTGACATAGGATTATCAGAATAATATTACCTACCGAATTAGATTGAAATTGGCAAAGTGGGACCGGAGAAATGTGATTTCACTTAAAGGCCTTTTGTGCAATTTTGACGCCGGCTCCTATAAAGCCTTCTTTTACCATCCTGTACAACTTTACTAGCAGCTAGGTTGAACGACTTCCCTTATTCGTGGAAAATTAAACAACAATGCAATTCTTTTTGCAAATATGTAGATTTTTTAGGTAAGCTAATAATCCTTAATTTTTATACAACTTTAGTACACAATGGCTATAGAAAACTTAAACTAACTTGTAGATGCCATACATGCATCACATCCATTTTTGTCGATTGTTACAAAAACCAGCACTTAAAATCTCAAACAATATGCATATTTAATATGACCTGTCAAACAATCGCACAATAAACACCTACCATAAAAAGCACAAAATACGAAACAAAAAAATCACCTGCGGCAAACACATTTTACGTGCTTTACACTAAATAATATTTAGGCATAACACTAAGCAACTGACCACAAATAAAATAAAATCAAAATTTGTTAAAATTCTCGGAGCGATGCTGGTCAAAAAACCTTTGCACAAACATGGAAGGTGTGCACGTTGCACTCGGCAGCCGTGGGTGATGGCAAGACAATATGTCAGACCAAGCAAATGCAAATGAATGGGAAAACAAAAAACATATAAAAACAAGTAATTTTAAGGTTTATGCGAAATTGTTGTTAAAAGTGCAATTCGTAATGAAAAAACTAAAACAACAGAACGCTAAAAAAAGTTAAAAAATAATATTTCCTATAAAGCAGTAAAATTGCCATCAAATATGTGCAAAAACTGCATGCCAAGTCGAACTACGCCCACTCAACAGAGCCAATCAAGGCACCATTTCATACCTGCATGTGCATTTATATAATATGTATATATATATATATATACATATGTGTGTACAAGAATGCATAAATGCAGCCCAATTTAAAATATAGTATTTTCCGTTTATAATCGACACAATTGCAAATATTTGGACAGCACCCACTGGGGGTGCAATAACGACAGTCGAAACTATGACGCTAAACGATGGCGCTTTTGGCGTTGATATATGACTATTTTAACTAGCAAAATTTTCGTACAAAAACAAATTTATGATAGAAGTTAGTATGCGCTGGAGCTGGAGTCTGTCCTCGCTGGAATGTTCATAATTATGCAATCGCTTTCATTTGCATTCGCTGCAATTACAGTCTTTATGTAAATTTTTGTGCAAATGGCTGGTACAAAAATGACGAATTCATTGGCTTTTTTATTTTATTTAGATTTCGGCTTGAGTTGTGGGATGTTTAGCGAAATATACTCGTAAGATCTAGTAAAGAGAAATCCATAATTTATCCGATAGATGGCTTTAATAATCCATCCCTTGCTTTGTTGTATAAGTATGATAGAGTTATTCTATATAGCATTCTAAAGATAAGATTTCGTACTAAAAAGTTTTTGGAAATTTTTATGATTGCCTGGCTCAGCATTGTTTGCCTAGGGGCTGAAAATTTTTATGGTTATGGCTGATACTGCAATAGAAATGACGCTCAATTTTGCTTGCAGTAAGGCACCACTCTCTGGACCCCAATTATTGAAAATATCGATAAAATAATGTAAGCACTGTTTTGATTAGACAATATCACTTAAATTAGCTTGGATACAAAAAGAAGCTCGTGTGTCCAGCGAGTTAACAAAACAAAAAAAAAAAAACACGAATGGACCGAATTTCCATTTGCGAGCTGCAGCTGAAACACAATAACAACAATTCATTTAAAGTGGGTGCTTTCCGGTGGGTGGTTACCGACGATAAAAATTGGGGAACTTGCGGCAACATCAAGCGAAAACGATCGTGCTTTAATAGCGGTGGTCCGACGAAAACCGTAGTATAGTCAGGATTGACGATCAGGAATGTTTTCATCTACTATGAGCTGTTCATCTACCGCCAAACACTTAATTTGGAGCTGCACTGTCAACAATTGGACGATCTGATCGAAGCAATCGCCCAGAAGTGGACTTTCTATGTTGAAGGGAAAGGAACACTTGTAGATATTACATCGCCGGAAGCTCCAAACGATTGGTTAGAAGGTTAATAAGCATCATCCTAAAATACCTACCTGGTATTAAGTAAGTGATTACTACCTGTTCTGGTCTATGAAGAATGATTTTACTGGTAAAAAAATTCGCCTTAAGAGACGCTCGTGAAAATCAACTGCTACTGTTTTTACTAATAGGAACCAGAGTTTCTATCCATCGACCTTAAACCTGTCATTCTCAAACGTTGGGGATCCCTGTGATGGATTTTCAGCGAAAAATCATCTTCAGCGATGAGGCACATTTCTGGCTGAATAGCATTATTGGTCAAGTACGTGTGGATTGAACTCCACGAGCCAGCATTGCATCCCGAAAAAAATACCTTTTGGTGCGGCTTATAGGCCGGCGTCATTGGGTCGTACTTCTTTCGTAATGATCAAGACCAGCATGTTACTGTGAACGGACATTCAGAAAATTCGTTGAGCGAAGCTACCGCTCAATGATAATCGAACATTTTTGGCCAGAATTGGAAGATATGAACTTTAACAATATGTTTCTCAACAGGAGGCTCAACAAGCCGCAAACACAACAAAAGTAACAATCGATTTATTGAAAACCAAGTTTGGTGAACATGTTATCTCACGAAGTGTCCAAACAATGGGCTACCTCGGTCGTGAGATTTGAATCTGTTAGACTATTTCCTGTGGGGATACGTCAAATCTATGGTCAATCCCAACAAGCCCACGACGATTGATGAACTTCGTATGAATATCGAAAATGAAATTGTGCGATAATGCCATTATGCTTAAGAACCGGTGAAAATTGGGTTTGAGCTTCTGGAATTCGGCAAGCAGGTCCGTGGTGGCCATGCAAAAGCAATCGAGTTGCATACATAATGGTATCGAATGTACTTTCACAGGTATAAAGAACTTCATTAATATCCCAAACCGTTTTTGTTTTATTAAATAAAACTGCGATCTTATTGAAAAACCCGTTAATTACAACATCGAGGAGCGGAAAGTGGTAGAGAAGTTGAATCGAAATTGGTAATATCGAAACACTTAAAAACAACGTATATTGGGTCATCACCTTCGACCCGTAACTTAATAATACTTTTTTTATTAAACATGGGATAATCAATCACTTGAAGAAGATAACTGTTCTACACAGGATCTAAAGTATATGTAGGCGAAATGTAGGCATTTTTAACCTGAACTCGAGTTGTAAATACGCAGCTCTTAGGCTAAGAGCAGAAAGAAGAAATAAAAATGGAATTATTTGAATGAATATGGTCTTATGTGATTATTTATCCAATTTTTATTCGCTTCAACTCACAAAGTAGTTTTATTGTGCCGAAGAAAATGTTTTCTCAAGAAATCGTTCACACGATAGTCGGGTCAAAGTAATCTGAACCGGCCAGGGACTGTATGTATACTCGGCACCATTCTTCGAAATAGTTTTTGGAATATTTTCTGTCGCTACAAAAACAAATCTACATAAAAAATGCCTTTTTTTGCAATAGTTTAATCTGACTCGAATTTACATAATAATACCTTACATATTCAAATCTTTTTCCCTTAAAACCTCAAATTTAGTTAATTGATGTTGAAATGAATGTATCGCTAAACATTCACTAATTCAATTTAGTGCTACACTTCAGACTCTTAAATATTCATACATAAAAGGATCTTGTAAATCAGTGACCCAACAATGGCTATTGCACAAAATCGAAACAAAAACACAACAGCTGTATTGTAGGCAACAAAACCAGTTAATTTTAAATGTTTTTTCTAACTAACTATGAAAATGGCAACTGGCAAATTAAATTGAAATTGAGAGCTGATGCTTATCAGAACATGCAAGTCAATTTAGATTTCATTCTTGAAACGAAAGTTAGCATTTATGCACTCTGGGGGGCAATCTAGCTAATCAAGAATAACGATAAGAACAGTTACATGGTAAATTGCTCAGACTTGGATATGATATACATAGCATTTTGTAGTATATAAAATACAGTAATTAAAAAAAGATTTTTTTGGACTTACATGACTTAATTGCACTTAAAATTGCTACGCAGCAAACAACCAACGAATTTTCTGAAACGAAAGATAACAATAATTTTATAAATTATATTATTTCATTTTTTTTTTTTTTTTTTTTAATTTTTAAATGTTGTATATGTATGTATGTAGGTATGTATTTTAATAAAATATATGTATATATACAGTCCTAATAACTAAGAAATTCCATATCTAATGCATTGTCTGCACTTGCGATTATCACACCGCAACTAATATAATTATGTAGTAGAGCAGTATATTAGACCTAACAAAAACTGTCTGCGAACGAACTACAAACCGAAATGGCGGAAAAGAAAAGGCAAAAAATTATGTCAAGGTTGCGTGCCCAAAAAAAATTTAAAAAGCAAATTAAAATCTCAAATGTCACACAAAACAAAGCCGAAACGCACGCTTGAATTAAACATATAAGAAAAGCCGAAAGCCGAAAATTTAACGGCTTGACGTCTAAACAAAAGGGATGGAGACCGCCGCTGTCTAGTGGACAATGGGCACACGAAGCTGCGTGCCTTCGCGATTCAGTTCAAAAGTCATTTTCGAGCGGTTTATACGTAAAACTACAAAGTCACAGAAAAAAATAATAATAACAAAAAAATAATAATAATAACAAAAGTAGTAACAAAAAAACTAAAAACACAAAAATATTTTGTTTTTAATAAACGCAGTACTTCACAAAGCAGAAAACAGCGTTAAGTACACTAATAGCTAGTAAAAGTGCAATGATTAAGTTAATTAAGTAATAAAGCTGCAAACGTTCATAATCACAGTGACACACAAAAAAGTGTAACGAAGTAATATGCTCCCTCGGCTCACACAACAAATGTGAGCAAACACTTGATTTAAAGTGTGTAAATGTTATATGCTCGGAAAGCACTTATTAGACATTATGTCTTGTTTATGCTTTAATACAGTTGTAATAGTATGCTAATTAAATATATGTATGTACGTACATATGTATATGTGCAAGTATGTAAGTAGGCTGGCAAACTATTCATTACAGTTAGTTGTTTACGCAAACAAACACAGTGTTGTAAAATAAAGAAAAATCTGATGATTGAGCTAATTTGGAGAGAAACATAGCTTTGTCTGCACACTAATTAATATGACTAATTTTATGAACAAATTGACTGAGGAATTTTCTTTAGATAGCTGTGAAAATAGCTTTGAGTTTGTAGCATTCGAACCCAAAAACAAAATTAAATTATTAATTATTATTAATTGAGTCAATGAGCTTGATGTTTACATAAACTGTAATTAGCCCTTGCATTTATTATTAGATAACTTAACAATTAAATGTGAGAATTGCGCTAAAAACAAATTTTGTTATAGAGAAGTAAAACTAATACTTTACAACTGTAGGTAAATGTATGTTGGTGGGAATTTCGCTCTCTGTTCTATGTATAAAAAATGTATAAAAACACTAATAGTGGTTACACCCCAGAAAAACATTCCTATTTTCGAAACCAAAACGAAAATCATTGATACGTTGCAAGGAGTATATTAGCTTTGTTCTCCTAACAGTTGTTTATAACACCTAAAACTAATGGAAATAAGTATCAGGCTTTCCAATAGGAATGATAAGACTTTTAATTGTCGTTTCCATTTTTTATGTTATTTTTTTCATTATGTTCAGTTATGTTTCAGTTGCATCACGCAAAGATATACGTAAGAACAACGTTTACAAATTATTCATTTTTTTTAAATAATCGCTCTCCAATTGCAACTTTTCGTGCGCTTTTGTCCGTCTATGATATTAATAACCGTCCACCTGTGCTCGCTATTCGTCGAACTATTGAAAATTTTGGGCATACGATTTCTTTACATAATGTTAAAATGCCAATAAGAAAAAGACCACTCGAAGTATTAGAAATATTGCTGCCGTTCAGGCAAGTATTGCTGAAGACCGCAATTGGTCTATTTCAAGACGTTCTCAATAACTAGGACTGTCTCAAAAAGTTTTTAAAAAAGAATTTAGGCTTGCATCCGCATAAAATTGTGATCACTGAAGAACTGAACCCGTTGGACCGTAATTCACCGTAAACGTCGTGAATTTGCTGATTTTGCTATGAAACAACTTAAAAGCGATAACGTTTTCTTTAAGAAAATCAATTTCTACGATGAGGCTCACTTTTTTCTGAGTGGTGCGGTAAAAATAAAAAACAAAACTTAAATTCTGGTTCGAAGAAAATGCACAAATTATTCATGAACAAGAACGGTTTAGATCGACAATAACCATCTTTCGAAGGTCTCAATTGGTAGTAGTTGATCTAGAAAACATCAGGCTTCAACTATAAGGAGCTTCGTGCAACAGCCGAATTATTGCGAGAAAAGTTTAAAGATTCGATTATTTCAAGAAATTGTGATATTTAATGGCGTCTAAGAAGTTGTAACTTAATACTATTAGACCCATCAGGCCACTGGGTGTAGCGCACAGACTTTAAATGCGTTTTTCTCAAAACTCCGAAGTCGGTGGACATGATTTCTCGAAAAGTTCTGGACTCTTGGATTTAGTTTGAATGGTGTACATTTGATATGCCATATTAATTTTTGAAATATATGATTGTTTATATTAAAGAATAACGCGTAAGTTTTTTTCCTTTTGTACTTCTGAAACCCATCTAACCTCTAAAATTAAAAACATGTGAATTTTCTTAACAATTATTGTGTATTTTTTTGAAAATAAATACCCTTGGCACTTGGAGAAAGTTGGTATTGTAGATGGGAAAAACCTAACTATAATATTTACACATTCATTAAATGCCGCTATTCAATCTAAATTAATAAAAAAAACAAGTAAGGAAGCGCTAAGTTCGGGTGTCACCGAACATTTTATACCTGTCTCTTATACACATCTAGATGTGTATAAGAGACAGGTATAATTACATAATACTTTGGTGTTTTGTTATTATTATTCCATAGATGGCTTTAGTAATCTATAACGGTGGCCAAGCCAGGATTGACTGTCAGGAAGGGTTTGCTGTATTTTTGGTAAAACTGGACGGAAATTGTCTCACATGAGCTGCTCCTCTAAAACCAAACTCTTTATTCACACCTGTACCGTCAATAACTTTACCACTTAAATCGCCCAGATGCGGTCAAATTTTACCAAGAGGATAGAAGTTATGTTTCATCAAGACATTGCCAACCCACTTACATCGAAAGTGACTGAGCAGAAATTTCGGAAGATTGACTGAGATGTTCTTATGCATTGAAGTTATATATTGCATCTGGTATCAAAGAAGACTACCTCTTACTATGTGTGTTGAATGTTTGTGCTGGTAAAAAATTAGCTCCAAAAGAAACGTGTGAAAATTTACCGTCTCAGTTTTCCAATGGAACGGAAAGTTATCTTCAAATTATCGAACAAAACAATGTCCATTTCGAATATCTCTGCTTATATTAAAGTAAACCGTCAACTAAATTCAAAAATAATGGATTTCCTTTTATTAGACCTTCTATGCTCATTCGGCAGAATCGTATTCATACGTTTACGGTTTCAGGTATTTTATTTATATTTCTTACTTGAAGTTCCAGAATTGCTGGACATATAGTATAGTATAGTTGCATAAGAAAAAAACGAAAATCGGCTTAATTTCGCTGTTATTTTCGCGAGAAGTGCTCGATAAATTGTACATATGTACGTGTAGTAAATTAAAGTAATTTGAAAAAAAAAATAAAAATTTATTTTTTACTGATCGGCTACAACATAGTTTCATCTCCTATGGCAGCCCAAATTTATAGTGCTTTACAGCAAATAGGCACAGCAAAATAAGTCAAATATTATCTAGCAACAATTTGGCCTATAAGATAGTATGCGAGTAGAAAATAAAGATTTTATCGCTATGATCAATTCTTCCTTTTTTGTTTTAATTTTATAAAACAATCTATAAACAAAAGAATTGCGCAAGAAGCAAACATACAAGACAAGAAAATATACATACACAAACAATAGCAACTGGAAACAAATACAATAAGAAGAAAAACAACAAGAGCAGCAAATAAAAAATTTATCGAAAAGTGCCCACCGATCACACTGAAATATTTATCCCCAACCGGACAATGTGAAATAGTCGTAGGAAAATGGAAATAAATAAATTCAAGCAAAGCTAATTTTATCTAAGATATTGTTTAAGAAAGAAAAAAGTAACGCGAACAGTCTTAACGAAGCAAGGTTGAAGGCGAACACAGCAAAGAAGGCTGGCGAATTAATGTAGAGCAGTTCAGAGGGTCACGCAAGGCGTTGCTGCTGATGCTGTGGCCGGTGTTGTGTGGCGATGGTGGCGCTTAAGGCAGTGACGGCACGGACCAGTGCAGCAAATGAACACAAAGTGTTCTACAAGCAAAAGTAGAGAGCTCTATTGAAAAGTGCGCGCACCGACGTTGATTTAGTTGTACTTCTAGGCATTTGCCAGTCAGGTCTAGTTATGCGCCGGCACTCCATTGACTACAACAAAACGCGGTTTAGTGTGCGCATTGCTCAATTTCTGATGGCGATAAATGCACTTTCAAATAAATGGTTACTTCTTAAATTTCAACTTGTAATTTAAATGTTAAAAATAATTATAAAAAGTATTATCGTAAATTCATGAAAGTCCGCTAAAATAAAAAATAAAAAAATCCCGCTTGTCGAAGACTCGACTCTAGTTTTAAAACTATTATATTGTAATAATATTTTTTTTATTACATTATTATTTATTTTTGTAGCAAATAAAATTTCCTTAAAGTTTGTCATGTACACTTTTTCTATAGCTCTTGTCATTTACGAGATATATAAAAAAAAATTGCGAATTTCGTGGACACTTTTGTAGAGTGTGAAATTCAGAGGAATATGTGTCTAAAGTCAAAGCGATACCATAAAATGCCTCTGAGCAATAGAAATTTAAAGAAAAAAATCACGATTTTCGTGTATTTTCAATGGAAAATTTTTACATTTCTTGGTCCAGGGAGTTTTGATTGGTTATTTCCAAAGAAATCTCATAATGGGATTGAAAAAATGCATAGTTCAAAAAAAAACACTCCCTA